TGGTAGGTGTCGGATATCCATGTATAAACTTTCAGAAAGTTGTGTGCCAACTATAATAGTTTTGAACTTTCAGAAACTTCCATTTTGAGCTTTAGGGAATTCAAACTTCCGAGCTTCTAACTTTTAAATCTCAAAAAACCTTAATTTTCTTTGATTTTGTTGTACTTTCTGAAAATTCAAACGTTTAGAAAGCTGAAAAATGACTTTAAAAAACTTGAACCTCCACAAATTCCGAACTTTCAATTTTGAGAACTTCAGTAAAATGAGAAAAAAGGATAAATGGGCGTGGGCCACTATAAGAAGGGAGATCACGTGGTGTGGTCCACTGTGCTCCCGTCTAACCATGATGGAGGGATTTCCTATACTATGTATTTAACCAATGATCTATTTGCTTGTCTTGACAAAGCTTTAGTTTGCGTATAAGGTATGTTTTGATGAATTTTTTCTTATACTTATAAATGATCAAACACCAATTTATGACATCATCATGATGTGTCATACTATGGATCAAGTTATCACCCAATGACCCAATAACCTTTTACTGATAAGGGTATCAAGTTAGAAATCTAGCTAATAGGAGAAATTTTTGGTTCCTCCACTCCCCCCTAGCTAGACAGGCTCCCCCTCGTCTTCGACACCCTCCATGGTATCGAGTGGCGGTGGACGAGCTTAGATCTAGCCTTGGGGTCCTATAGCTAGGTATAAGGGTGTTCAGGGGAGGGATACGAGGCGGCGGCGACCTCTTCAGTGAACGAGCCCCCTTAGTCCTATCCCATTTCTGGTGTTGTCCTTTTAGCAACCAATGGGGAATGCATGGAGGTTGGTCTTAGTCGGTTGAATCTTCAATTTGAATGTGTGATGTGTTGGTTTTCCTCTTGGATGGAGTTCCCCTCTATCCGAAAGAATGTTCCTTCGCAAGCCGCCACGACCAAGGCAAATTTATAGACATCAGATACGGACATCCTTGGTGGTTCAAGTGGCTTCAAAACTTCAAGAATGATTCCCTGGGTGGAGTCCTCAAGGCGGTTCTAGTGGATCTTTTTTCGCGGCAGCATTGTCCTCGCACGGATTGATCTCATCACTGACTGCTCGTGGGTGATGGGGAGTTTTATTTTTATATCTCGCAGGGTCTTCATTTTAAAACTGCGGTTGTTATTTTGTTTTGAAACCACAACTGTTATGTTTTTAATCTACATAAAGTAGTTTTTAAAATAAATAAATAGATAACGGCATCAAGTTCTTGGGGTTTTCAAGGTATCGATAGCTAAGGGACCGCTTCACAAATTTACAGATATGCGAAACCTCCATATTACTGGGTAATAACTAAAATGTTTAACTTTTACACAACCATCAACACTTTTATGCTAGAGTGCACACACATTTTTTATACTAGATGATACCTTCATGCATTGTTGCGGGAACCTTGTTAAAATAAATGTGCAAATATGTGTTATAAAAACAACTGAAGCTAATGCAAAAGTAAGTGTAAGAGTGTTCTCGGTTTATATTTTAAAAATAAGAAAATGTATGAAGCATATGTGACAAAATGACGTATAAAAAGGGAAAACACTTTTGAATTAAAGTTAACATAATATCATCCTTTTAACAAAATGTGAAGAATAAAGTACATATATTTGCTTCAAGTGTCCAACACATACACCATCCGTGATCATATGAAAATTAATGCGAACAATTTAACTTATGTCTTACACGAATAATTTGCTAAGATGGTATGGGTGCATGGATAGATTAGTTAAAAAGACTTATCTATACCTACTAATAAAGCAAGGTGCAAGTGAGCCAACCTGTGGTTGGATGGTTAGAGGGACAGTAGTATCCTATCCCACCAGGGTTTAAGTCCTGGTGCTGGCATTATTCCTGAATTTATTTTAGGATTTTCGGCGTCGCCGCGCATTCAGTGGTTGGAGATGTTTCCGTCGACGACGAGGTGCCTACGGTGACTTCGTAAATCTCAAGATGATATGTCGGCTCAGTCTCTCGAATGTGCTCATAGGGGTAGGATGCGCGTGTGTGTTCATAAGGATGAATGTACGCGCATATGTATGAGCGCTTGCGTGTGTACCGTGTTCAATAAAATAACAAAATAAAGTAAGGTGTGTTTCTCGGATTTTTTCATCCGTTCACCATTGATTTTTTTTCTATCCGAAGTGGTACTAAACTTCTGTGCGTCCTGGAAAATAAAATGCAGTTTTCATACATGGTCCGCATGCTCTGTGGCCCGGTGAAGCCAGCCCACTCATTTTCCTGCCCACACAGCTGGAAAAACCTTATTTGCGGCATGTTGCGGCAAATAGTCGGAGGTTCGTAAAAGGCGCCCAAGATTGGGCAGGCCCATTTTTGTTTTTTTGTGTTCTGTTTTTTTCTATGAGCTCCTCGGATGTCTGAATAAGTTAAAATTTTGCACGAACATCACACACGGGAACGATTTCACCTATGAAAGTTTCTGATTTTTTTTTAGTATTTGCTGAATTTACTGTTTACTAGGTGCAGATGCGCCCGGACACTGAATTAAAAATATAGTGAGCTATAGTTATTTAGCAATAGAGGATGCCCCAAAGAAGCATAAACTGAGAGACTGACTCTTCTTGACTCTAGTGCCGCCTCGGATAAGCATATGAGCGGATGTTGCTGGCTGAATTGTCAAGTCCAACTTTAAAACTACTCAAGAAAACATTATTAACTACACATTTTCGCATCCGGCAGAAGAACAAAACACTTTTAAAATGACTACTGATTTTCGGTCCAAATATTACCCCAATGGTAACTTGCTTGATACAGTCTTTCCTTCTAGTTCGTCGGCTGTGTGGAAGGGCATCATGCATGGGCTTGATCTGTTGAAAAGGGGGCTTATATGGCCTGTGGGTGATGGTTCGTTAATTACGACTTGGCGGGATCCCTGGATTCCAAGGAAGCATGACTTCAAACCGATCACCCCAAAAAGAAATTGTAGACACAACTGGGTTGCAGATTTCTTGGATGAATCTGGTGCATGGAATATGCAAATGTTGAGACAATATTTCTGGGATATGGACATTCGCGAAATTGTGAAGATCCGGACGTCATCGAGGCGGGGGCAGGATTTTTTGGCTTGGTTTCCAGAAAAGAGTGGTTTGTTCACTGTTAAGAGCGCTTATCACCTCGCAAGAGAATACCAATTGTCAAATTCGATGAGCGCGTCTAGCTCTAACCCAAGCGGACACAGGTCGATCTGGAGACGGGTGTGGGATGCGCGGGTACCACTCAAGATGAGAATCATGGCGTGGAAAGTGGTGTCAGGAGCACCCGCAACAAATTCTTGCAAGAAATATAGACACATATCCGCGCGTGATACATGCCCTCTCTGTGGTTCAGAAAAGGAGACCAGCTTCCATGCGTTGGTTACTTGTGAGTATGCTCGGGCAGTGTGGACGCAATTGCGTTCAGTTTGGAATCTCCCTGATCATCAACTGCTTCGAGATACAGGAAGGGAGTGGCTTCTGAATATTCTGATGAACTGCAATGATGGTATGCGGGACTGCACTATAATGTTAATATGGAGGATATGGACATTGAGGTCTGATATGGCGCATGGTAAAGATGTACCAAGTCCGACTGCTACGGCAGGTTATCTGCAAAGTTATATGCAATCGTTACATTTGGCCAGGAGATACTCTACAGAGGATATCATAAAGGGGAAGATGCCAATGCTTGGTGATGAGCCGGCCAAGCCGCCCGGTACGACAATGCAGTTACCATGGCCTCGTCCTGTGGAAGGCCATGCGGCCTTATCGGTCGATGGATCGTTCTCACCATCAGATGGATCAGCAGCTGCAGGTATGATACTTAGAAGAGTTGATGGGTCTGTCATATTTGCAGCTTACCGGTGTATCTTCAACTGCAATGATGCTTTGGAGGCGGAACTACATGCAATAATGCAAGGGATGGCACTAGCAATCCAGCATTGCGACTTGCCGATCATTGTTCAATCTGATTCTGTCCAAGCTCTTTTGTCTTTGACCGGCGAAAGTCTTTCCCGGTCGGCTTATGGTCATTTAGTTGCTGAGATTCGTCTTCTTATGGGTGAAAGAGAGTTTATTCCTTTGAAAATTAAGCGAGAACAGAATAGGGTAGCAGATCGTTTGGCTATGTATAGTCGTACAGAGAGCACTACTGCTGTATGGCTTGGCAGGGCCCTCCTTGTATTGAGGAGCTTTTGCCATTAGATTGTAGCCCTATGAATATGGAATAAAACTCTTTTACCCTCGTAAAAAAGAAAAACACTTTTAAAATGACTACTGATTTTCGGTGAAAATGTCTGGAGATGCATGCATGTAGATGTAGGCTTATCTGACGAGTGACGACAGGTAATTTCTTGGATAACTATTTAAAACAAGCGCAAGCTCGAAGACAAAAATTAATTTCTTGAACGACAGGTAATTTCTTGAATAACTATTTACAACAAGCGCTAGTGACTATGAAAATTAATAGAATTTTTTTAACTTATGTCTCACACGAATAATTTGCTGAGGTAGTACGGTTGCAAGGATAGATTAGTGAAAAACATAACTTATAATTACATAGTACATGACTTGCTATAGTGAGCTGTAGTTATTTAGCAATAGAGGATGCACCAAAGAAGCATAAACTGAGAGAATGATTCTTCCTGACTTTTGTAGGTACTAGTGCCCCACGTCGGTTAAGCATAGTGAGGGGAGGTTGCTGAATTGTCAAGTCCAACTTTCAAAACTACTCAGGAAAACTTTTACGTACCCAAACTGTACTACTGGTTTTCGGTGAAAATGTCTGAAGATGCATGTAGGCTTGACTGACGACAGGTAATTTCTTCCTTGACGAATAACTATTTAGAACAAGCGCAAGCTCGAGAATTGTACATTCGATATTACTTATATATTACTGGTCAAATCAAATTAATTAACAGAAGAAGCTTGCTAACTCTACGCGCGTCTACGATCACCATCTACTTACGATCTATCACCGATTCACAGCCTAAGGCTCAAATCCATCTTCTTAGTTTGCTCTGGCAGCAGCTGCTGTTCCGAGGTAGGTGGCTCCGTCTGCGTCCTCATTCTGAAGCTCCCCGGCCACGACGTGGAGCCGAGCACCTCCTCGTAGACGAGCGGCGGCCACGGGCCAACCACGCCATCGTGGAGCCTCGGCGCCGTGGCCTCTTGCCGGGCCGGCTTGTTGATCGCCGAGCTCGCCGGGTTGACCCTGAGGACGCGCACGATCGCGGCGTGCGCCTCGAGCGGCAGGCCGGCCATGACCATCCGCTGGTGGTGCGCGTGGTGGTAGGACAGCGACGACGAGCGCTTGGCCGCGCTGCGCTCCCGCTTGTGCGCGTTCTGGTGTCCGCCCAGCGCCTGCGAGCTGAAGAACTTCCTCATGCAGAAGTTGCACGAGAACACCTTGTGGGGCGGCGTCGGCGCTGCCGCGGCAGCCGGAGGAGGCGTCGGCGGGTGCTCCTGCTTGTGCTTGGCCGCCGGCTCTTCGTCCGAGTACGACGAGGAGTCCTCCTCCGCCGGCTGTGAGCAGTTCACGCCCAGCGTGAGGTTGAGCCACGTCGCCGCGTCGCCCTGCTGCTCGGCGGCGGCGGTAAGCATCCGCGCCGGGCTCGCGCTCACCGCCTCTTCCGTTTGCTCCATACCCCGATCCTGCATGCAACTAGCCAGAAGCTAGTGTTTCTTGGGTCTTCCTGCCGACGGCGACCCTGCGCTTAGTTGGTTGGCGCAGGCCACGCACTAGTGCCAGCCGCGATAGCTCTGGTTGCGCTATGTGTCTGGCGCCTGCTTCCGGTTCGCGGCGCGTGCTTTATAGAGGGGATCCGGCCGGCATCCGGGACAAGGCTTGTGGATGGTCTTTGTGAGGAATCCAATCAGGCCGGAGCATTAGACAACTCTAATCTCTCTTCCACTTGCATGTAATATCTCTTCTTTCTTCTTCCTTTCACATCAGGATCTGGAGCAGTGCGTGCTCACGTCACCTTCTCGAGTCCTAGTCCTATGCTTGCCATGCCCACCTGGGCACCTTCCATAGCTAGGTAGCATCTAGGTTCATGCTGTTGCTATGCTAGCTGTGTAGGAGTACGTACGTACGTACGTACACTCGTAGTGTCTTTGTGATTGATCGAGTCGTGAGTTGTTGTGACCGCGCCACTGTAGCTAGCGGCCTAGCGGTGCCTTTTCCTTTCGAGAGATGGTACTAGCATGCATGGAGTTTCGGCGACAAGGTTGCTTGGTTTCGGTGGGTAGGTGTCGCTTGACTAGTGGTGCATGGCATGGGGTGATCTTCTTTGAAGAGAGACTACACTATCTGTTGTTCTGGATTTCACGGTTTCAGATGCCTAATCAGGATAACTTCCAATCCGATCGGACCTCCGGATATTGAGATGATTGGGTTTAGGTCTCGAGATTCGACAAGATAAGCCATGCGGGGGGTAATCTCTTCCAACGCATTAGCATGAAGCAAGGAGTACCCAAAGTACCACGCAATGACGCAACTGAGGCTGGTTATAGTGAAGAATAACTTAGACTAGTAACATGCATATGTTACTAGCCTATGTTACTACCTTCATAGTGGGTAGTATCATATATGTGGTAACATAGATGTCTTCATTTATTATTTTGTAGACTCATTTTGCATTGGGAAGCGCTATGTGATGGTAACATATTATGTTACTCTATTTGCCTCTCTCCTCATTAACTACTTGCCACCTCATCATTTTTGCTTATGTGGCATCTAAGTTACTATCTATGTTACTCCCACTATGACCAGCCTGATGGCACCCTGCTCTGCTCTGGTTGCATAACGTTTACGCTAATTAAACCACGGTGATTTGATTGCTGGGCCATGTGACGTGGTCGGTTTTATGTACCATTGAATCTCTTTTTTAGATTTCTTCAGTACTTTTCATTACCGTTGATCTTTGATATGCAATAATCTGTGATAATCTTTGACGAGCTTTGCTACACTTACGAAAGTTACGTACTGGTTGGCATTTAGTTAGTTCATTAGGAAGCTTACGTTCGTACAGTTTCCATGGATGTAGCATTTTGTTATTTTTGGCTTGCGAAGTTCCAAATTTTATATTATTTTGTTACGACAAACACAAAAGAAAAAGTCCATGAATAAGGATAGTGAGCACGACAACAACTAAAGAACCGTGTCTCCCCCGAATAAGTTTTTCTACCGGTGGCGGGAGGCACCTGTGGAGAATCTACCATAAACATCGCTTTGAGATTGGTGTGGCTGGTAGACTCCACTATGCTTTTGTTTCTCCTTTTTAGCAATACGAATCTTATACAAACACACATACAAGGTTTGGACGGGTCCACAACAGTACCTTTTGTCAGGCGGTAGGGTCAGAGAGAGAGAGAGAAAGAGAGAGCAGATGAACGAGTTGCATGCACGTACTGAATACTTGCATTTTATTTTCCATGCCATATTTTAAAATGTTGATAACTTTTGAACTAAATATCCATTTTTGAAATATTTTATATTTTGGAATTCAGCGCGACAAGACATTAAAAACAAGATAAATCTTGGATGCACTTTGGCTAGTTTGAATTTTATCGTTTCACTCATTTTAGAGAAAGCATTTCAGTCAGTTTCACATTTCACTAGTTTTGGAAAACCTTCCAGTCAGTTTCACATTTCACTCAAATGATAGATTTCACTCATTTTAGAAAACACATTACACTCATTTACGAAAGATAGATTTCATTCATTCAGAAAACACATTACACTCACTAAATTGAAAAAACGATGTTTCACTTGTTTCAAAAAACCTTGTCCGCCCATTACAAAACATATATTTCAAAACAGTGCGCGCTTGTGAAACTGATATTTCACTCATATAAAAATTGATTTCAATCATTTCACTAAATATATTTCACCACATTTCTTATAAAATAGGTTTATTTCACATATTTCTTACGAAATAGGTTTGTTCTTGCTATTTCTTTTGAAATAGGTTTCTTTTGAATATTTGTTTATTCATCCTCACAAATTTAATTTTTCAGTTTCAGTAAAATTATTTCACTAAAAAACACATTAATTTCACTCATTCCAGAAAACACATTACATTCATTCAATTGAAATACTATATTTCACTCGTTTCAAAATACCTGTTACACTCATTACAAAAGATATATTTCAAAACTATTTTCACTGTGTGCTCACGAAACTGATATTTCACTCATCTAAAAATTAATTCCAATCATTTCAATAAGCATATTTCACATGTTTTAAAACATTTCACTCAAAAATTCTATTGAAATACTATATTTCATCCATTACAAAACTAATTTCAAAATTATTTTAGCTCATTTCTAATTTCACTCAATACAAGCTTAGCTCATTCCAAAATAAATACACTAAAATAAAAAACAAATTTCCCACATGGAATTAATAGATTGAATGAAATAAGTGAATTGAAACATTGAAATTTAAACATGTTTCAAATATTTCCAAGAATGATCTTGTTGTAAAGGTCTTGACCCTGGGAGTTCAAATATAAAAAAGTTTTAAAATAAAACTATAGATTAAAAGATTTGCGTGATTGAAATTGTCAAATCGAAAACAAAATTTCATAAGTACTCGCGTGTCAGCAAGAGATGGTCACACATGCATGTGTCCTTCATCTGACATATGGTGGGTCCTAGTGCAGAAAATACACTGCATGCAAATCTAGAGAAATGAGTGAAATACATCTCCCGTATGTGAGTGCTTGATGTGGTGTCATGTGCTGATTGGCTAGCTGGTTGCCGGTACATCTCGGCACCGGTAAAAAGAGCTTTGCGGTGTCTCCCCCTCTTGTCTCACCGCCACTAGAGGAGCTCGCTGGCAAAGCCTGTGCTGTCTCAAGGGACGATGGCGACGAAGCGCTTTGCTGGGTCGCATGGCGGAAAAGGTCCATTTTAAACCTTGAATTCGTAGGTGCTCGGCGAATCAAACCCTAAAGTCGAAATCCCTGTCGTTCTCACCCTAAACTAAAGAATCCCGGTCCAAATCAAACCTTAGTGTCGTTTCCCAAACGGGGATTGCCGACGTGGCAAAGGGGTGGCCGAGATGGGTCGTTCGGTGCGTGCCTGCGATGATAAAAGTGGGCCGGCCCACTACGGCCTGTTATTTCACTTTGTTGTCTCTGCGTCCCCCTGCCTTCCTCCTTCTCTTGCGACGACAATGGAGACTGGCGGATGATCGCCACCGCTGCGACGATAGTCACGACTTGACGACGCGTCCAAGAAGAAGGTAATGTCATGGATGACGATTAGTGTTAGGGTTTACAACGGCAAATTTGGGGACGATTTTGGGGGAATTGGGTGACCCAAAAGGTTAAATTTTTGTGAAGGGGAATAGGTTCATATGCTTTATTTTGATCACAGTGTATGTTTATTTTGGTGAAATCACGGACCCAAGTGAGATTTTGAATGTTTGATTTCATATTGGAGGGCAGTTCATCCACATTGATCCAAATTTGGACTATGTTGGGGGAGAAGAAGCCATGTCAGATATTGAGATGGATAAATTGTCCCTGCAGGAAGTGAAAGGTTATCTAAGAGCATCTCCAACAGCCGCGCAATGCGCGGCGCGCTAAAAAAGCGTTCGCAGCGCGCTATTCGCGAGTTTTTGCGCGGTGGAGAGAGCTTGCTCCAGCAACCGTTGCAAAGTTTAGCGCGCGCGAGCCGCTCCAGCAGCCGCTGCAAAAAAACTGCGCGCGTGCTCTCGCACAAACAACATATGCACTCCAAACACAACCAATAAGATCAAACACAAACAAAATAAATCAACAATAAATAGTTCAATTTTATTATTACAACTCAAACAAATAGTTTACCCTGCAATAGAACAAATAATTCAACAATACAACATCAAACGCACAAATCATGATGCTCTTTGTTGGTCATTCTATGCCCACCACTCCTCGATGAGATCCTTTCGAAGATCATCATGTGTTTCGGCACGTCGAATGACATGATAGGAGGCAACAAAATGGGCCACCCTAGCAGCCCTCCGCCGCACTCGCATGGGATGTCCCAAGAGCTCATACTGAGAGTAGTCTAAATCTTGGCCATGCTCATTCTTGATGATCATGTTGTGCATGATCACACAAGCGTGCATGACGTACCAAAGCATCTTTTGATCCCAAAATCTAGCTGGTCCTCTCACAATAGCAAACTGGGCTTGAAAAATCCCAAAAGCTCTCTCCACATCTTTCATAGCCGCCGCCTGAGCATTGTGGAAATCAAGATTTTTCTTACCTTCCATTTTTTTCAACGGCTTCACAAATGTTTGCCACTTTGGGTAGATGCCATCCGCAAGATAGTAGCCATAGTTGTATGTATGGCCATTTGCTACAAACTGCACCGGTGGCAGTTCACCATTTGCAATCTTATTCATCAGTGATGACCGATTAACAACGTTGATGTCATTCAAAGATCCAGACATTCCAAAAAAAGCATGCCAAATACAAGTCTCTTGATCGGCCACCACTTCAAGGATTATAGTGGAACCCTTTTTTGGCCATGGAATTGCCCGTGCCATGCCTTAGGACAATTCTTCCAACTCCAATGCATGCAATCTATCGAGCCAACATACCTGGGAAGCCGCGAGCTTTGTTCATCTCCAATAGCCTTGTGACATCTTCAGCATTGGGAGA